GCCAGTGGGTGGAAAGTATTGTGGATCCAGTGGTGATGTAAGCATCTCAGTGCTGGTGTGGGTCTCCACGTGACTCCTCTAGCTCAGGGCTCTGTAGTAGCTCCATGTGTCTTGTCATCATGAATACTAAGCAGAGAGTCTGTGTATCCCATCTCCAGCGAGCTATTTATCTCCTTAGAGCCTCCAAATAAGGTCATCAAGCAGCAACCTGATTGAGAGGCTAAACTCCACCCTCTCACTCTTAATAGTCTCAAATTGGCAACAGATTATATAACTACCACAACTAGATATTTCATTTTTTTTTAAAAAAGAAAACTTAATGTGATACTGTTCCACTTAAAACTGCAGGCATTTAATTCACCATCAGAAATCCTAGTAGAATCTAGCATTTTTAATTGTTTTTAAGAAAGTTTGCTCTGATGCTTTTCTATTTAAACTAAAGATACTTAGTTTATCAGAAAAGATCCTGGTGGAAACTGACAAGTGATATATCAGCATTGTTGAGGAAAATGCTTTTGTTCAGAAATGGATTCTCCTGGGAGAGGAGGGGACATAAATATTGTTGTTATACAGTCTCTTTGCCTAGAATTTTGTTCTTTCCCCATTAAGCACTCATTTTAAAACTCTGTTAATGATGACTGTCATGTTGGAAATTCTACTTATTCTTCTAATGCTACGTTTAGTGTTTGTGTTGTTTTTTTTTCTACCAGGAAATACTAGGATTATCTATTATAAAATGCACAAGATTAGTAGAGAGGTATTGTTTGCCAGTGAAAGGAGTACCGTCTTTCAAGTCTGATAGGAAGGACAAGGTTGAAATCTCAGTGTAGCCCTTACTTACTGTATGACTTGGTTTCATAATTTAGCCTAACTGAACCTCAGTTTCTTCAGCTGGGAAATTGAGAGAATCATGATTGTTTTGCTAAGCTATCACAAGACTTATGACTAATACACATCACAAACCTAAGGCAATGAGTGTCTGGTATGTGATCAGAACTCAACAAATCCCAACAGCTATTATTATGAACTACATTAGTTCATAGGAAACCTTTTGGCTTTTCAAAGAGCACTGCTCCAAAGATAAGGCCACTCTTTGAATGTCTTTATTAAGATAAAGCTCATTCAAGGGGCCCTAAGTTAATATGACTCTTGCCAAGCACAGCAATGTGCATCTAGATTCATGGAACTGGCCTTTGTGAACCTAAATCTCCCATAACACAGATGAAGCTGGTCCTCATTGTTAAGTAGCAATCATTTTTTTCTTTTAAGTGAGTTGTTATTTTTTGCTTCTACTCTTCTCCTTTCCTTTGAGGAAATACAGATTTCACATCACAAGGGGTTTTGCCAATTGCTATTATGCTGCTTATGTGAGAGTTAGCAAACTTTCAATAAAGGACCAGATAGTTTTGGGCTCTGTAGGTCATCCAGTCTCTGTCAGAACTACTCAACTCTGCTGTTGTAACATGAAAGCAGCCATAGATCTTAAGTGAGTGAAAGGGCATGGTTTTGTTCCAATAAAACTTTATTTACAAAATCATACTGCCAGCTGAATTTGATCCATGGGCTATGGTTTGCCAACTTTTGCCCTATAGTAAGTATTCTGGCCCAACAATGAACCCCCTAATCATGGCTTAGAGTATTAATGTAGTGTATCTAGCAAAGCACTTAAACCTAAGGGAGGCCATCTGAAGCTATATTTAGCAATTGCTTCCCAGACTGTGGAGCTCTGCTGTGGCTGAAACACCTTTAACCATGCACTTCTCTACTGAGCAATCCCGCCCCTGGCCGGCTTTCTTCTGGTCTTGTTCCCTGGCACAGTGCTTGCTACTCGTAGGGCTTTCCACTCCTGTTTCAAATCTGACCCTTTCTTACTGCAGTTACATTAGGGCTTTGTTGTTGTTGTTTCATCTTCTTTCCCCGAAATTTCTTTTTTCCTTCTTTAGTTCCCTTACCATGCCGGTTCTCCTGACCAACTTGGCATTCTTCGGAGCAGCTTAGATTTTATTCCTTTGGCCAGTGAATGAGAGAGAGCATCTGTCCTTCTGATAATGAATCTAGCCAATCTATAACCCCCAAGATTCAATCTCCTCTCAATCATTGCTGTTGTGATTGCTGGCTGCACAAAGATTCTTTAGTTGTTGTAAACAAAGCTTCCTCTTTGACTTCAGTTGCCTTGTCTTCATGTATTTCTTTAACAAATAATTATGATGCATCTACTGTGTGCCAGGTTCTTTGTTCAGCACTGGGATACAAAGAGGAATGTAGCAGACATTGTCTGCCCTCATAAGGTTTAGCAAAGAAAGCACACATTAAAGAAAGAATAACTCAAGCAGTGAATTATGGCTGTGACCTGTGGTGGAAAGGTGAAGTATAATTTACAATGACAACTACTTTGAGTGGTCAAAGAAGGCTTCCCTGAGGAAGTGAGTGTAAGCATACAATAAGCCTTGGGGGATATGGGAAAAAAATATATATATATGTACATATATATAACATATATAATTAGGGAAGAATTGAAATTATTTAAGCTAAAACCTGAAAACTTGGCAAAAATTAGATGAAACTTTAGGGAATGGAAGGTAGAGGGGAGTCCAGAGAGAGAAAAAATAGCTTGTGTGAAAGACACTGGCCTTGGTGCATTGAGTGGCATGAAAGATGGTGTTAGACAAGGACAAAGAGACTGCTACTCAAAATGAGGCTGTAGAGGACACCAGGCCCATGTTAATGAAAGCCTCAGAAGCCAAGTTTAAGATCTAAACTTTGTCCTGAAATGATGGGAAACTGTTGAGGGCACATGATGAGTTCCCAGTTTCTATGGTTTTAAATTCTGGAAGTTGCCAGAAGGCCAAACTCTGTAGGGCAAAGTAGAACTTAGAGATTTTCTCTAAGTTCACCTTCTGAAATAAGATAGCAAACCAGAACCAGTTGTTTCTTTTCTACATTTGAAACAGTTATAAGTCCACTTGCCTACATAGCAGCTTTCAGTTTTCAACTGGCTAAAAGTTAAGTCCTTTTAATACTAGTAGCTATTTGGTGAGTGCCTTCGTTCTTCCTTCTGTGAGTGAAATGATCTTATAATTTCTTTTTTCATGTTTAAATATTTTTATTTAAAAAGGTTTCTATGAATCTGTAGTAATGCATTTTGATTTACCTTCATGTATACACACATATAGAGAGAGTCCTATAATGAAAAGTGTTCAACTGCTAACCTTTGGGCAGGAGTTCAAACCTACCAGCCACTCGATGTGAAGAAAAATGTGGCAGTCTGCTTTCCTAAGACTTTCAGACGTGGAAACTCTATCAAAAGTTCTACTTTGCCCTACAGGGTCACTATGAACTGAAACCAATTTAATAGCACATAAAAACAACGATACTGTCTTATAATTTCTATCCTTGTTCTTGTTCTGTTTCTCAGAACTATACAGATTAAGTCAAACTCCCCATTTTAGGAGTGGTTAATAGGAAAAAAAATCTTTACTGAAAAGCTGATTTATTTTTTGTGAAATCAGAGATCAGATTATGAATTAGAAAGTGGGACTATACATGACATCTATTAAGGTAAGTCCTGTAAGAGGATTCTTGGGTAATGCAAACAGCCAACATGTTTGGGTTGCTAACAGCAAGGTCAGCAGTTTGAGTCTACCCAGAGGCTCCTCAAAAGGCAGGCCTGGTTATCTACTTCTGAAAACCCATAGACTACTCTGACACACAGGGGTCAACAAGAGTTGAAATCAGCTCAACAACAAAGGTTTTCTTTTTCCTTTTGGTTTAATCAAGGTAGACCATAGTCTTGTCATTCTATATGATATACCATAAACAACAACAAAAATTCACTGCCATCGAGTCCCTTCTGACTTACAGCAATCCTATAGGACAGGGTAGAACTGCCCCTCTGGGTTTCTGAGTCTGTAACTCTTTACAGGAATAGAAGGCAGAGCAGCTGGTGGTTTTGAACAGCTGATCTTTTTTGGTTGGCAGTCCAACACTCCACCAGCTTCTATCAATAAGCCATTGATTTAACTATAAAACTCTGCACTCCACCAGGGCTGTTTTTTAACACTTACCAAGTCACTTCAAATTAACAGTACTCAGAACTAAAATCTTGTTGTTTTTTCATTCAGCCATCAAACGAGCACTCAACATGTGTCCAGTATTTCATTCATTTTATTTATTCTTAGGGAATAAATAAAAGAATAAGTATTACAGTCCTAAGATCTTCCTCCTAGAGCATTATGGTTTCTTTTGAAAGAAAGATTTGTACATTTGTGAAAACGCAGTGGTTGAGCTATATACCAAAGAGGACTATAAGCATTCAAAATCAGGGCCGGTGGGGTGGGGGGGAAGCATGAAGGCCTTGGGGGTGAAGACCTGGGGGGCGTAAATCCATTCCGAAGAAATACCTTACTTACTGAATTTCTCTGTAGAATAGATTGGGCCAGGCTTGTTTATTTTTTATCCTCCTTTACCTCCAGAAGTCTTTTGGCTTAGATTAGCCTTCAAATACTGTGCATAGAGTCATTTGGCCACCCATGCTTTGTTTGGCAAGGTTTAAGATGTTCTATTACACACTAATCTTCCCACTCTTTCATTCTATTTTTCTATGCTTTCTGAAATTTTTGATGAGCACAAATTTATTTTTATTTAAAACACACAGAGAGACACACACAAAGTTTATACCTATTATGGAAAGATGTTCACACACTTTGAGAAGACAAACAAAGGCCAGCCTTTTGAAAATATGAAAAAATCTAATTTTTCTTTCGATCTCTTGAACAATGGGTTCTGTTAGAAGCTTTGCCAGTGTACATTAAGATGACCAGCAGCTTCTTGGGATGTCTATCCTGAGATGACTTTCTCCATTAAGAGTGCATTATCTGATATGACAGTAATAAGATAATGATTTAACTGTAAAACCCTGCTAATTATTCCTTATTTTTCTATCCACCTGATTTCTTTCAAGAATTGCTTTACTGTTTGTATTATTTTTCCTTCTTCTCTAGCGGAACGGAAGCCCCCACTTTTCAACATGAATGCAATGAGTGCCTTATATCACATTGCTCAGAATGACTCTCCCACATTACAGTCTAATGAATGGTAAGACCTAACTGTGTTTTCTATCTCTAAGAAACTTATCATATGCATTTTTAACACTTTCATTAAATGACATTTTAAGTGTCTGACCTGGACCCTATTTCATCCTTCCATTCTATATTTTAATAAATGATAACATGGCTTTCACTATGCTCTTAAATGTGTGTATGAACTGAAATTCTATGGGGGGCACGGTCAGCTACCTTCCTAACAAATTTAATGTCTCAAGTCATCGAGGTCCTGTCCTGATTATTGCAGCTCTTATCTCTTCTCACTAGAGATAGAGACCCTCTCTGATGTCATTGTTTTTCCTGTTGTCATATTTACACGTGTTGACATAGAACATACACAGTCTATTCAGAAGAAACATTGTTTCTTGCTGAAGATTATAACATTGTGGTCCCTATTCATACTTAGGCCACAAAAAGTGAGGGCAGCTTTGGAGAAGAGTAGCTGAAATGGAATCCAGAGATGATGTGCTTTGATTCAGATAGTATATTCCTTGGTTCTCCACCTTCATGGCTCTCTCCATGACTCACCTTTTACTACTTGGTTATAAGTTGTGCGTGGTGGATGCGTTACCAAGTGGGGATGAACAATTATGAGATTGAGACTCTAAGGGTTGCTATCTTCAGAGAGAAAAATGTATATACACTTTTATATAATATTTTTTAAATTTTCTGATATAAATTATGATTTGGCTGTACCTCTTTATTTTGAGATGTCTTTGTATCTTGACTAAATTGAAATTATGTACACATTCATTTTCCAAGAGACTTAATTTAAGATTAATTTCAGTTCTCCTGATATTCCAAAATATCTTAAGGAATATATCCTAAAAATGCAAACATTTCCCATTAATGAAAATTGTTTTATGTAACCAGTGTGCTTTATAAACCCTGATTTTATTTTCCTTTCCTGTATTTGCATACACAGGACAGACTCCTTTAGGAGATTTGTTGATTACTGCTTGCAGAAAATACCTCAGGAAAGGCCAACATCAGCGGAACTATTACGGGTAAAATTTCAAATTGTATCTGAGGAATTAGATTTGAAGTCATGTTGTAGTGGCAGCCCATCAGGACAAAGTAAATTAGAATGGGCCATCTCATCATTTATTTCGGGATAAATCATGAGAACCTAGCTAAACCTATAAAGAACAAGATTCTCACAATATATGCACTATTTCCCCTATTAACCTTGTGATAGGGCTTCCATTCCCTCCATATTTCCCCTTTTTCTTCTTCTTCCCTCTGTTTTTGCCTTATGGCAAATATATATATATATATGCAAGACAGAGAAATGCTTTGGTCATCATTGTAATGTTCCTGTGACTTTTCTGTATGAATTATAATGGTGCTATCTCAGATTAGAGAGTACTACAGGTTCAAATGCGAACTTGGGGGTTTTCAGTTAGGTAGTGGCCAAATCCTCAGACAGTGAAGACACATGATGTATATAAGACAAGCATTTATATAGACCACATCATGCATAAGAGTTTCATATTTGTTGCAATAATATAATTTCAGCTTCACATTTCTGAGCATCTTTCCCTAAAACATATTTTATGGACTTTATACATGGGAGTGTTCTATCATTGTCTGTGAGGTAGGTGGTAATCTTTTACAATATAAATACCTTTTATTTGGCAACAGGTAATCTAGATTTCTTTAGCCTTTTTCTTTTCTTTTTAAAATCATTTTATAGAGGCCTCATACAACTCATCACAATCCATACATCCATCCATTGTGTCAAGCACATTTGTACATTTGTTGCCTTCATCATTCTCAAAATATCCTCTTTCTGCTTAAGCCCTTGGTATCAGCTCCTCATTTTTCCCTCCCTCCCCGCCCCAAATCCTTGATAATTTATAAATTATTATTATTTTGTCATGTCTTACACTGTCAGATGTCTCCCTTCATCCACTTTTCTGTTGTCTGTCCCCCAGGGAGGGGGTTATATGTCGATCCTTGTGATCGGTTTCCCCTTTTGTGCCCCACCTTCCCCTTCCCCTCCTGGAGTTGTTTCTTTTGTTATTGGTCCTGAGGGGTTTATCTGTCCTGGATTCCCAGTGTTTCCAGCTCTAATCTGTACTAGTGTCCATCCTCTGGTCTAGCCGGATTTGTAAGGTAGAATTGGGATCATAATAATGGGACCTTTTTCTTTATGTTTTTTAACCCTTTTTTGTTTTTATCATCTTTAGATTGGCTGGATTTTGTTATTGAGCCATTTTTGAAAGAACAGCCCCAAAGGGCTCTTGCCCACATTAGTCAGGCTTGAAAATGTCCGCTGCTTTTATACTTGAAAAGCACCTTAGCCAAAAATTCTTTCTATTTTCTCTTCCTTCCTTTCTTTTTCTTCTGTCCTTAATAACTCTGTAGACATCATTCCACTGCTTTCTGACTTTGAGTGTTCCTGAAGAGGCTTCAGGTTTGAAGCCAACTGGGTATTCCAACACAGAGTTGTTCTTTGTTTCCTTTTGCGTGGCAGAGCACAGGAATATGATGGCAAAAGTAGCAGAATAAAAGACTCTGCTTTAGTCTCGTCTGCATCGAGTTATCACATGTTCTAGACATGAACTACTTTATATACCTTAGCAACAGCTTCCCATTTCTATACAGGAAAGTCACAGCCTGACCAAAACATCAGAAACCTAAGACATGTAGGGTAATGTCTTTACATCTTTAAAGTAAGCAAGGTTTCAGGGGGAGGGGGTGGGGGAATGAAACTAAAGGCACTATCATGGTAGGAAAGCGAGGTAAATTTGGTTATTTTAGAATTAAGGTGAAAAAGAAAAGAAAAACCCTGTAAGGATTCCTAAATGATTTTGGGTAACAGAATGTGGTAGTCAGAGGTAAAGTAAGACATTAAAAAAGGAAAATTAAAACATAATAGAAATTAAAACCATATTAGAAGCCAACAAATGAATTTCTTTAACTTGACATAATAGCTACATGGTGAATAGGCTTAAGGAAATAAAATAAATCATGTACAAGAGAAGGAAGTTCTAAAAATGTTCATAGAGATGATACATGTGGAAGATAGAGGAGATGTAATATCTTCCTGAAGAAGAAAATAAACTGGAGCATGATATGTTTAATGATATACCCGAAGAAAACTTTTCTGGAAATTGGTGTTTGGATCTTGATTTCGTTTGATCTTCATGTTATTTAAGGAGCCCTGGTGGTGCTGTTGTTTAGGTGTTGGGTCACAAACCATGAGGTCATCAATTCAAACCCAAAAGTCATGCTATGGGAGGAAGATGAAACTTTCTGCTCCCATAAATATCTCCAGTCTCAGAAGCCCCATATAGAGTTGCCATGCGAAGGAACCCACTTAATGACAGTGGGGTTTTGTTGTTTTATTGTTTTATTTAATTTGGTAAGTCACGTCAAACAGGCTCATCATTTAAACAACAGATACTTACTGATTGTCTACAGTGTACCAAGCACTACTCCAAGTTCTGAGAATACAGTAGTAAATTAGAAAAAGCATCTTCCCTGTCCTCAGGAAGCTTATATTCTAATGAAGGAGTAAGAAAATAAATAAATAACATAATGTCAGGATCCTTGATGGTGTAGTGGTTACACATGGGCATCTGAATGGTCGGCAATTTGAAACCACCAGCAGCTCCTTGGGGGAAAGACAGGTTTCCTATGCCCGTAAACAGTTAGTCTGGGAAACCCACAGGGAGTCGCTATGTGGCAACATTGACTTGATGGCAGTGAGTTTTGAGTTTTTGATGATTTATTGTCAGATGGCGGTAATTTCCTTGCAAAAAAATAAAGCAGGGGCAGGAATAAAGAGTGACAGTAGCTCTGGTTTAGATCAGGAGTCAGATAAGGATTTCCAAGGAAAGGGTTTTCTAAGGGCCATGTTGCTGGTCTCGTAAGTAAGAAATCTTATTTTTGGTAAACTCACTGAACTCTGGATAAAGAAAGATTTATGCGAGGAGATTGGAAAATTGTAGTGTGTGATTTATTTATTTATTTTTAACCTAAAGAGAAGAAAATTAAGTTCTTTACCCTGCCTCCATTTTCTATGACCTGTCTCTAATGAGAAGATATAAATTTACTTTTGTGTTGAAAAACCCATTGTCTTCAGCTCTACCCTTTCAGGAACACTTGGAGCCAGAAAATTGTAGAATAATGTTTAGAGTTCTAAAAGAAAAGAAAATGTAAACCAAGCATATTTCACTAAGATGCTCTTCAATGATAAAGGTAGCTGACATTTTCAAGCCTCACAAATTTAGGCAATACAACCCTTCTGAGTTTTTCATGTAAAAACTGCTCAGTAACAGAATTCAGTCAATCTAGAGATGATACAAAAAGAAATGGAGAAGGAAGTGTGGGGTGGGGCGAGAAAATAGAGTGGGAGAGGACAGGGGGAAGCGAAGGGTTAGGGGGAAGTCTTAAGGATGTGGAATTTGGACAAAATCCTAGAGAGACCAAGAAACAAATGTAAGTAACCTGGGGCCAGAGAGAAGGAGAGACAGAGGGAAGGGAAATAGAAAGATTATGGACTGGAGAAACTGATCAGTTAGCCCCTCAATTTTTTTTTTAATTTACTTTGCAAGAGCAAAGAGACAATACATTCTTCATTTTATTTTACTTAGGAGGTTAAATAAATCATTTGAAGAATGTGTAATGCAAATTCCAAAAGATGCAGACACTGTAGGATCTCCTTTCCTGGTCCTGTCTGGACTTGGTAAACACTGTTGTAAATATCCAGAGATACCTTATGTATATGAAAATAATTGTTTTTCTGTTTTCACAGAAATGATAGTAAACTATAAACATTCTTTTACTTTGATTTATTTTACATCACATTCCCTATTACTACATGCAAATCTACCTCATTGGGTTTTAATGGCAGTGTAGTGGTCTCAGATGGACCATAATTTGTTTAACTAATCCATTTGGAGTTTTCCAATCTTTTGCTATGCAAGCTATAATGAAATAATATCCTGCATGTATATAATTTTGCACCTGTATAAGGATATGTGAAGGACGAATTCCTAGAAGTAGAAGTGCTCATCAAAGAGGTTATAAACTTAAATTTTAAGTAGAAATGCCAAATTGTTTTCCAGTGATTATAGTCCCACAAAGTATGAGTGCTGAAACTCTTAAAATTACGCTATCTAGATCAGTGAAAAACTTACTTCATTGTAATTTGCATTTTTTTTTTATTAAAAGATCATTTTATTGGGGGCTCTTACAGCTCTTGTAACAATACATCAATTGTATCGAGTATATTTTTATATAAGTTGTCATCATTGTTTTCTAAACATTTACTTTTCTTTAATACTTTTTAAAAAACTATTTTATTGGGGGCTCGTACAATTCTTATCACAGTCCATACATACATCCATTTTGTCAAGCAAATATGTACATTTGTTGCCCTCATCATTCTCAAAACATTTGCCTTCTACTTTAGCCCTTTTACTGTGTTAGGCTTCCTTTTTTTTTTTTTTGAACACCTTCTGTAAGTTGAAAAGCTGTATCTGTTTTCTTGTCTGTTAATCCTGTGATATTTGTCCGTTTGCCTAGTAGATTGTTGTTGTTTTTCTTATTGATTTGTAGTAAATCTTACAAATATATTTCCCTACTTATTTTTACTATGATGTTGGGCTTTTAGGGGGAAATAAGGATGAGGTGGGGTCATGCAGATATTTGTTATAACAAACAAGGTAGACATCTAGAGCTATTTTTTCACAGTTAGCTCTTTTAAAAAATATAATCTATCTTTTATTTGCTGATTAAAAATGTCACCTTCACATTGAACCCATTTAACTAACACTGACATAACTAAAGTATAATTATATAAATGGTTGAAAAGCAAAATGTTTATTTATATCATATAAACATTGACAGTGTAAAAATAATAAACTAGTCCCCCAAAAAGTGTACTAATTTTCTTGTCAGATAAGATGCTCAATAATATTCCTTAATCTTAGAGGATCATTTAGGAACTAATAACTTTTTTGTTAAGAAACTGAAAGTGAAAAAAAAGAAAGAA